ATGGACGTGGATCTATAGAATTGACCGTCTTCTTTCGCTGCGGGGCCTAAAATAACAAGGATTCCGCAGCCACGCACTTATAAATGTCTTCGTCGCGCCGAACGAGTCTATGTATACGCGCCTCCTCGAACTGCGCCGGAACCGGGGATCCGATTGTGGGTACTCGCTCCCTCGAAATGTTCTCGCAAGTCATGTGATAAGCATTCTCTTCTGCGGCGATGTTGCCAGGCGATCGATACTTCGCCAAGAAGCTGCTAACGATTAAACTTAATTTAGTAAGAAGCTTCCCTCCTCTCGGTTCCAATCGAATTTCGACGTCTGACACTTAGCCGATGATACGTGCACAATGTCTCCCGGAATGGACGCCGCATCCTCGAGCCAATCCGGAATCGGGTGTCCCTCGCGATAATAAAGCCCGTGTCCCACTACGTATTGCGGACGCGGATTGGATTGGGATTACGGATTGCGGATCGAAATTCAGCCAATCACAGCGAGGCAACTTGGGATCCGGATTGCAGATCACTGGATAGACGACTGTCTATTTGTACGATCCGTAATCCAATCCGCGTCCGCAATACGTAGTGTGACACACAGAGAGAAAAAAATAGTCATTTTTGGAACCAACCATATTTTTATAATTCCTCCAACGTAATTTATGGTTGACCTAACAATATTATAGTTCTCATAACCACAATATTGGTCCATGCAATTATAAAAATATGGTTGGGTCCAAAAATGACTATTTTTTTCTCTCAGTGCACGGGCTTAAGACGACGTAGTGTCGTTCGCGCCCCGCGATCCTGAAATTTTGGGAAATATTAATATGAATGTCCACAAAGCATAAGTAAACGTCGATATTAACGTAATTGTCTGACGCTTAATCTATAATACAATCTGCTCCTGTATAAGAAAATCAAAACGATTTAAAAAATTCGTCGATTGTACAACGTACAATGTAGAATTTATCAACGTGCACCAATTTTTTTAAATGTATTTACGGGCTACAAAATAGAATGTTTCTGGACGCAGAGAGCACGTTGTAGATTAGGCTTGAACAGGGTGTCCAGTGGTCAGGAAAATCTGGAAAACCGGGAATTATCAGGGAATTTTAGAAATCTGGAAATGTCGGGGAAAAGTCCGGAAATTTTACGATTTATCTGAATTTTTTACATTGTTTCACATTTTTTTATGAATAATTTAAAGTTTTGAGAGAATAAGCTTTTCTTTTCTTGTATACTTGGATCGGGGGGTGTAGAGCGGGCGCGATCGTCACGTGGGACGAAAGGAACAGGGCGAGACGGTTCTTTGCCCATTAATCGCTTAGCACGATTCCCATTCAGAGCCCCGCTTCCGTCTTCGGCACAATGGCGGCGAGCGAAGGTCGTGCCGAGCCTCCGTGCGGCGACCGCGTAATAAATTTTACAACGCAAGCGCGCGTCGCGTTACATCGCGGGCGGCGCGGGAGTAAAAATACGCCGGGGGCGATCGGAATTAGCTCGATTTCCTCGTTCCGCGGAAAGCTCCGTCATTCGAGTAAAAATAAGACACTCGAGACTCCCGTTGAATCGCGCCAAGTTACGCGTCGTCCCCTCTCGCGGACCCTTTCTCCCTTCGCGCCTCACGATTGAATTTCTCGCGTCGGTGAATACGTTGGCGATTGTACGCGGGGGAGGTTTATAGAATTTTAGAAGCAGACATTAACCCTTCCTGCGGATACACGTCGATTCTATATGACGGTAGCAAATTAAAGCCTCTCGCGTAATTCTCCGAGCATTCGAGTCGACGCGTGATTACAATCGATTAGGCCGAAAACAAGATACACAGTTGACACCCACTCATTTGTGGGGAAACAATCGGGGCTGCAGGAGGATCGAGCCGAGCTCGCATTCCCGCGCGTGTAACAATTAAAATTCCTCCTTCGTTATTTCTACGCGTCGCGGCGTCGACGAGGTCGACGGAAATGCCAAATGCGTACGTTGAACGCGGCTCTCCAAGTAGACCGTGACGACGGAGGGATGTTATAACACTTCGCAAAAGGCGCCGGCCTCCTGACGAGGAAAAGGAACTCGCCCGCCGCGCCGTGACGAAAGCGGACGAGGCGAGCGTGGTTTCCAGGTGGCACGTACGTTCCTCGCTTTGAAATTTAGGGATCCATTCTGTAAGAGTGCTCTGCCACGCTGTGCTTCTGTAACAAAAAGAGCAAAGAGCGGGAAACTAACCGAACGCCCTCCCTAGATCCGGTTTCACCAACGACGCTTAACTGTAATCCTAAGGCCTGGTCTATACAATGAGTTGTTAGTCAGAAGTCGGAACTACATGCTGATCCTTTTCCTTTTTCTTCCATCATCCGGTTTCACCAACGTCGTTTAACTTTAGGCTTAATTTAATTCGTTGTTTGTTTCTGTCTCTCACTTTAGAAACAGACAAAGAACGAATTAAACTGAGCTTAAAGTTAAACGACGTTGGTGAAATCGAGTCTAAGGGGGCAGTCGGAAACAGATGATGAGTCAGGCTACGGTTAGAACGATTAAGTTACGTTGGTGAAACCTTCATCTTTGACCGAACGATCGTTCGCAAGGTCGGAAGCTCGCGCGATCTGCTTTGTTAGCCGCCGTGAAACTCGTCGCTCCGTCTCTCTCTCTCTCTCTCTCTCTTCTCTAACAATGCTTTGCGTCGGCGATGAGATAGGGACTCGCAGATAGGACACGCTCGTATATATACAAGAATCAGCGATAAACATCCGCCCGATTCGTCTTCTGTTTCCTCTGCTCCGGAGTTATATAAGTTCCATCAAATCTGAGGGAGACCGATATCCGACATGCGATCTACGTTATTATTTGGCGTACGTACATTGGACATCGGACCGTGTTTCGATACGACATGCGATAGGACGCGCACTCGATACGCTGAGTCACCGCAAAGAGGAACGTTTCGAGTACCTTACGCGGGGCCCGGTGGGCGCAAGAAAAATTGAACGCGCTATTCGAGTGGGCTCGGGGAAACGAACGTTGGAAATGCTATTTCTGTCTCTCGAAGCGAACGGTCAGGTCCGAACAGAAGTCCCTTTGGGCTCTGGGACAATTAACGCTTCTTCAAATTGACGTACTTCTTGCGCCAAAGAACCGCGCTTCACTCTTGCGCTCGATCGCGCGCAGTTGTTTCGAGGTAAAGTTCCGCTTGGGAGTGAACAGTACGTCTTCCAATCTAGAAGATAAAATTTTTGATCCTGCGGGGTTGCATCATCCGATTGCATCATCCCGCGCAAGGCCCGATAGTCGGGCCCCTGCACTGTATAATATTACCAATTAAAACTTGCTCGAAAAACCACAACGCGCTAGTCTACAATTCTACGTCTATTGGTTCGTCGTGGTCGTATCAGCTCAAGTTGGAAGAGCTGGGAGCCATAACTAGACGAAGAAGGTTGTTTCGAGGTAGCGAGAGAGACGAGACTTGGAATCGAAGGACAGAATCCGTACGGAGTCGTTAGGGATCGTTGGAAGCGTTTCGGAGCCACGTGCTTCGCACGCTCGTTCACACGCGACTTCCGCTTCGGGCGAGAGTATTCCGCTCCCGAGTCGTTCCGTACAATTCGTAGCGACTCGAGCGTCGGTGCGCGCCGAGTCAATAAACACCATGCGGCGTGAGAGCGCGCGTCTCTCTTGCGACGCGTTCGTCCGAATGGCGGCGGTCGTCGACGCCGGAAGGACGCGATCGCCCGGCAGGGAACTCGGGCGCATGTAAATTTTGCGGACGCCGACGAGAGCCCGTCGCGTCGACTCTGGGGGGAGGGAAAAAAGGTGCATCGTGGCCCGGTTGGCCACGTGACGAGAGATCAATTCGCCGGCTTCGTCCCGGATGAAAGACCATCTCGCGGGAGATATCGCCCACGCGGCGGACAGTCGCCGCCCCGGGCCAGTTTATCGCGAGAGGCGCGCGCGCGGGCTCGCGGAGAGCAGAAACGGTCGACGCGCGGCTCGACCGCCGCCATTTTCCGTCGCGGTTCGGGACAACGGACGGAGACGGGGCGCGGCGAGACCCCCGCGGGGGACTTTCGCCGGTCGCGCGCCTCGCCCGCGACTCCCGCGGGATCCTCGCCGAGAAATTCCGCGCGGGGGATCCGCGACGGGCGGCCGGCGCGGACTCCGGGAAGGCTCGCCTCCATCTCGGGCCGCAATGGCGTCGTTTGCTGATGTGGCCGGCGTGCCGTGGGAACGTTGCTCGTTGCCGCGGCGCGTGCGACGAACGGAACGACGCGAATGGCGCGCGGCCCCACGTGCTGCCATCTGTCAGCGGCGGGCGGCACTAAACGCGACTGCGTCGCGCCGCGTTGGATGGCGCCACGGTACTGAATTTACCCCCCGAGCGACCGCATAAACTATCTCTCTACGATCCCATTATTTTTTTACATACAATTTCTAATTGATTAACGGCGGCTTAAATGTTAGTTATGTATATAATTTGTGTACAAATTGCACACAAGGCACGCGTAAAATTGCACCGACGAATTGCAATTGCATGTTGTAGGAATGTTTGCAAGGCCGTGCTCGCACATGACGCGCGTAAAGCCCGTATCAGACTACGGATTGATATTGGGATTAGATTTAAATTTGATCAATCACAGTAAAGTTTTTTAATCTCAAGTTCAGAAACTTTTACTCGGATTGGTCGAATTTCAATCTAATCTCAATCTCAATCCGTAGCCTGATACGGCCTTAACACATCGTTTATCCTTGTTATTCGTCAAATATTAAATAAGGATAAATGAAGAGAAAGGAACTCGGCACGGCGCGCTAATTAACGAACGTGGCGGATTTCCAAATGTTCATGGCGCCCCTCTGAACTTAATAAAATCATGTTTATTTCAATCCCTCAATCCTCCGTCTTCGGATTCGTATGTGCAGTCTTTTAGAATGAGCCTCCTATTAAAAAATTCTCCCAAACGTGTGGACGATCGAGAAACAAATAAAGCTAATTTGCGCGTTATGTTTCTTCTTTTGCAGTGCGCAGATTTCGTGAAGGCCGGCGCGGAGCAAGGATTGACGCCATCCGATGTTGTCCTGGCCGCCGACATCACCTTCTCCTGCGTGGCTGACCCTCAGGCAGCCAAGGATGTGAGTGTTGGAAAAGATGGAATATCAAAGATGATCTATCATATAGATTGTCACCAATACATGTAGCTGTGACCCAAATTATTGGGAATGCGCGCACATGTTTGTCACGTTTAAACTGTTTTCCAGATGGTCTTCGGTAACTGCGGTGTCCTGATGGAGATATCGCCGAACAAGAGCTACGTTGAAATGACTGGCATTGACGCGGAGACATCCCAGGACATCGCCGAGGCGATAAACGGCAAGGGCGGTCGCTATCTCGAGGCCCAGGTGCAGGGGAGCAAAACGCAAGCGCAAGAAGGCACTCTGGTCATTCTTGCCGCTGGAGATCGGTCGCTCTTTGATGAATGCCAGTCTTGCTTCGAGGCAATGGGCAAGAACAGTTTTTACCTCGGCGGAGTCGGTAACGCTTCCAAGATGAATCTTGTACTGCAGTTAATGGCTGGTGTCACTCTGGCGGCTCTGGCCGAGAGCATGGCGCTCGCCGATCGCGCTGGTCTCAAACAGGAAGACGTTTTGGAGGTTTTGGAATTGACATCTCTGGCGTGTCCGGCAATTCTTGAGAAGGGCAAAGGTAGACTTGTCTCAGCCGGTTGTTTCGTCCACGTTTACATTAATCCTCAATCAACGATAATACGCACTTCTAATAATTTTAGTAATAGAGACTCTATCTCTAGTAACTGTTATTTTTCATTTCACTATTCAATAACACTAATATCATTTTGATGTCTGTGTCTATGCTGTCCTAAGGACTTGACGTCCAAATTAATCGAGAATTATATAACAGAATCCGTGTATCGAACTCGTAATTAACATTACTCTTACTTTGCTTCGCAGCGATTGTTGAAGGCGGCTTCCCTACCCAGTTACCGCTACAACATATGCAGAAGGATCTGCGACTGTCTTTAGGCATGAGCGACCAATTGGAGCAACCCTTGCCGCTGGCAGCTGCGGCGAACGAAGTGTATAAGCACGCGAAACGTCTTGGATATGGAAAACACGACGCCTCGGCCGTTTATATTAGGGCTAGGTTCTAACGCAGCAGGCGTTTCGTGTTATTGTCACCGAGCTTCTTCATATTTATTGCGATACCTGACGTTGTTTCCCGCCGCTAAGGAAGAGAAAGAGAGAACATTACACGTATACTTAAAAAATATGTTCGTATCTTTTTTGTTGGACTTTGATCGACGATTTCGAAAGATACGCCGTCATTGTGTAAACACCCGTGAGATTTTACGGAAGGTAGAGAACGCAATTCAAGTTAAGTAACGAAGAGATAAAAATGCGGTCGAGCGAATCGTAGAAGAGCTTTGTTAACGCGCGTTTCGAAGAAAAATATTGCGGGGTCAATGGTAAAAACTTTTTTCAATCACTTTTTCATACTTTAACTTGAGTGTAAAGAGAATTTTGGCAACATTCTTTTTTCCCCGTGCGCTTTTCGACAAAAGGAATATTTTTCTTCGCGCGCGAACGAAGGAGTAAGAGCGTTGATTTGACGAAACAGTCGCTCCCGAGTCGCGTTTCGGTTTCGATCGCGCGCGAGACGCCCACCTAGCTCGGTTTCGAGAGATTCGCGACGTGTCGAAGAAAAGAAATATGTGCCTTACGATACTGATTGAAGAGAAAGGCTCGATGAAACAACTGCATTGCAAGCGACTTCATGATAAACGATCGCACTGTGTATGTCGGTGTATGATTATCTTAACGACAGGGAGTTTGACGAGCTCGACCACGACAGTGACGATCACAGAACATTAATGCCAACTGTGGGGAACCACTTTACGTGGTACAATTGTAAAGTTAAAATTTCTACGTGAATGCCTCAGAAGCATTCGCCAGTCGGAGCGATTACGGCAAGGGAACTGATCCTTCCTCGTATATTTTCGTCTTCTTTATTATGATCTAAAGAATAGCTGTTAATGGACTATTTTATAGACGCACTTTTCTTTTTTTAGCTTCCTTGCACTTTGTACAACGAACAGATGCGCTATGTTATCTCTCTCTCATGCTGTTTTTAGTAATTTAATATAAAAACTAAAGAATTAGTTAGTTATTTTTATCTGGAGATTTATCGGCAAATCATATGACAGTATGTGTCATCGAATTCGTCCGTGCAAAAGAAGTCTTTGTGAAATTGCGTAGTTGGACGTTTGAACTGAAAGAGGGGAAAAAACAGTGCTCGTTAACTCGCCTCACTTTTACCGACGCTGCTGTTGATCGACGTGCAGCGCATTATAAATTAACGAAGATACCGAGGGAGAGTGTTATTTAGAATAGATGAATGTGTATATTATATGCTGCGTTTTCGTATCTTCTTAACAGCAACGTTAGCGATATCAGCTCTCCTCGAAGGCCTGTCCTTGAAAGCAACAGCAGAAAAATTGAAACTACGTCTGCGTCTACGTATATTTTGTACTTTCGATCATTCCACAGTTCCGAAAAGAGAAGTTTCAAAATTGAAGTTACAAGCCAAGCATAATAAAATCTGAATAAACAGTATACTGAGATGAATGATTCTTGCGGGTCACTTTCCAAAAATCCTAGTGATAACGTACTCCACTACCTCGTACGAGTCGCACAATCGTACGGAACTACGCGAGAAGAGAATCCTGACGACGAGGAGGGAAGTGAACGAGCGAAGCGTTTCCGTTTTCCCGGGAATATGATCTCGTGGGCGACGCGTGACGAAATCGAGTGTGACCGGAGGATCGCGAATTTGGCTTGTGGAAGACCACCTGATCGAGAGACCAAAGCGAGGAAAGGACACATGAATGTTCTTCCTCGAGCCTGAAAATATCGGCGTTTTAAAATGTATGAAAATCCGTAGAGTCAATTTCTTCACGTAGAAATAAATTTGCGCCATTTCTATAGAATTTTGTCCCCATTCAAGGCAAAATAATTAGAGGAGTCCTTAATATCGAATTTTGTCGAGCGGTGGGGATCAAAAAGAGGATTGCTTATTCCGACGAAATGCAACAATTTATTTCTAAACTGCTGTCTGATGTGATTATATATATATTTTTAAAAGAGAGAAATTCCTCTCGGCTGTGCGCACTAGCGCAAGCAATCGAATTCGCTGTAAACGAGATTATTTCCGCATCGAAAAGTCATTCTTCGTATAGTTTTCACTTCTTTTCAGACGGCAAACCTTTCGGATCAATCGCACCTTTTATCTATGGATATTCGTCGAAATCGAGCGGATAATCGCGTCATTTGCGCGGCACAGATCTCGAATTTATGTAAGCGTGTGCGGGAAATTGCGTAGCGTATAGCTGAAATAACAGTGGCTTGGCGCCATATCACGTGCGGCAACGTGTAATTAGACATGTACACAATCGACAGTTAAATAATAACATCAAATTGTATGTGTATGAACCTGCAATCTGTGGGGCGGGGATAGAAAGAAGAAATATTATATTCTACTGCATAAAAAATCATAAAAAAGGATATATTATTAGTAAATATTAAGTTTACTAAAGACACAGAAAAAAAAATAAGAATCGAAGACGGAGGAGAAAACAATGTGGGAGTAATTAGTGTGAGTGCGAGCGAATGAATGATGGTATACGTTACGCGCGTTACGTCGGCAACAGACGTTATATGTTTTGTCACGGATACACAATGGTTTTTGAATAAATATCTATTTGACCTATGAATTTTATCTGTCCTGCCCCCGAAGTTGAATCGAGCCGAACAGAAAGGATACACGTGAACAAAATCATATTTGAGGGAGACAAAAGAACAGTTTTATAAGCATGAATTTTTAGCAGTGTTCTCGCTGGTTCAATTGTATGTACTCTCGTTTAAGCGGCGACTCGTTTGTCTACTTTAATAATTTGATTTACACCAGGCGTTGTTCTTTTTGGTATTTTGTTCTTCGGCAATTAATTCAGCAAACATATCGTATCGATGTTAGATTAAACGATAGTCTGGTACACGTGTGTTATACAAACATTTTAAGTTGCCGTACGTTTTACGTTTTCATTCTCAGAAAAAATTGCGTTTTTAACAATAACAATAAAAAGGAAAACTGGACTTTCGATAGAACAATCACCCGAGGCTGTTGTATCTCAAGCTCTTTCCATATTTGTTATGTGATCGCTTAAGCTAGACATCTAGATATGTAAAATAAAGCGTCTTAGCTTACCAAGTTCAGAAACATTTCTCGGGTGGATTTGGTTTTGTTTTAGTTAACACATTTTAACAGCGGACCTATATTTATATTAATTAAAACTTTAACCAAAACGGATATATATTATACAAATATTTATTCTGTATATCGCAGAGAGTGGATCTAAAAGTACGAGTTAAAAAAAAGTAGTAGAGTGTCAATGACCATTTTTTCGTAGTACGCGAGTTTGAAAAATGACTGTCTCAAAATTATTCTTCGGGCAGTTTGAATAGGCAGACCCGAGGGAGCGAAAATAATCGAAGGATCGAAATCGCAAACAAGAATAATATACTTTTGTTCTTTTCCCTTCTTTTGTATTTCGTTGGAACTCATATCCATCAATTGGATCAAAATCAAATTATTCGGATAAGTAGGCCTAATTGTGTATGCCGAGGTGAAATCTGCCGCTGATAGCCAAGTTGCGCTCAGCGTTCGGAACTTTGCAATGGTCGGAGAATTTCTTGCTTATTGTTAGATCTAAAATTCGGATTTTTCTTATAAATTAGATATACATCTAAATAATTTATTTAATTCGATTGATGGATCTGACAATGAGTCCCAACGAGAAGAAGGGAAGAAGCGAAAGCTTACTATTTACATCTTGTTTGCAATATTACTTTTCGTTTCCTCGAGTCTCCCTTTATTCAAGTTGTCCGAAAACTTTGGTCTTATTGAACGATTATTGGTCTTATTGACAATCTTTTCTATTACAGCCAGTTCTAGTCAAATAATATTACTTGTTTGTAATTTATTAATAATATTACTTGTTTACACTTTACAATGCAAATGAAGATTTGATATTTTTATTTTCATTGCAAGAAAGTAAGTGCAAAGTAACGATTCGTTACTTTTTGAGTAACTGTAACCGTAACGCGGTAATTTTCAGAATTGGTAAAGGCCTTCACACATAAAATTCCGTAAGGACGTAAAACGTAAGCGTAAGAAAATCGACCAGTCACAGTCGAGAACGTAAGGCAATAACGCAAGCAGCAGCAAATCCAATCTGTTGATTTTCTTACGCTTGCGTTTTACGTCCTTACGGAATTTTATGTGTGAAGGCCTTAACTTGTGACTGTAACTAGTTACATATTTAGCGAAACTACTGTAACTATAACTACGCTAATAAAAAATATTTTAATAAAAAAAAATTACTTTTTTGAAGAATATTATTTATTAGGTGGCTCCTAATAGCTTATTAACTTAAATTTACAAAATAATAAACAAATTGAAACATGCGTTTTCAGCATACGCGACTGTGATTAGTCAATTTCTTAAGGCTTAGGGTTTAAATCTCTATTGTAGACTGGGACTAAACGAGCCTTGGTGTGCGCTCAGTGCGCGCTAGTGCAAGCAACCGAATTCGCTATTGCTCTAATTCATTGCACTAGTTGACCAGTGTAGAAACAGAAAACAAGCCTATAATGTAAACAATACGTGGACAATCCGAGCAGACGTAATCTTGCCGCGCAACCCCGCGTAACGAGCGGCGGAGGCCGCCTCCGCCGGTGCACGCTCGCGCGCGCGGCGCGAGGAAGGACGCGAGCACAGTGGGGGACCGTGGGGTGGGCCGGCGGCGGAGAGAAAGAGAGAGAGAGAGAGAGCGGGAGAGCGGTGACGTAGAGCGGCGGACGGGAGGGAAGGGACGCGCGTTGCCGTCAGATGACACCTGTGGCTCGACCCCCACGATCAGTACAGCCGCGACTTTGCGCGCGTTGCCCCGCCGTGTTGTTTTTACGTGTTCCCGCTTCCGCGCTCGCGCGCGTGCGCGCGCACACACGCTCACGCTAGCGCGCGCGAAAGAGAGAGAGAGAGAGAGAGCGCGTTGCGCGCGCGCGCACGCATACGCGCACACACACCGACCGCGCGCGTATACACGCGTGTCGCTGAACGGCTGAACGCGGGGTGCACGTGTCGCGTCGTGTATTCACCGCCCCACGTGTGCCGTCACGCCGAGCGTCATCGAGCCGCCGCCCCGCGGTCATGTAGCTCCGCGCGCTCGACGACGGGCGATCAGGATCGGCGGAGTGAGAGAAGGAAAAAAAAAGGTATCTGGTCTCAATATGCCCGCGCTTACTGCGCAGCGTCCGGCTCGCTCGCGCGACGGACCGGCGGCGGGCCCCGATTTCCCCGAGCTTGGAATTTCGGTGCCACCGCGCGCGAGGACGGTCCCCTCTCCCCGGCGTTTATCGCGCGCGCGCGTGTATCGGGCCGAAGAAAAAAACCCTTGCTTGTCCGGCCGGCCGCCGCTGGCACGGACGGACCCGCGGCCGGGGCGGCTCCGGATTGAGAGCGATCGGTGACGTCACGGGCCGCCTCGGTTCGCGGGTCGCGTCCACGTTGGCGAGTGCGCGGGGACTCGAAACTCGCGGGAGCTCGGTCGAAATTGGCCGGAACGAGTCCGTCGTTCACTCCGCGAAGAAAAGGGGGTCAACTTTTGCTCTATCCGCGCGACGTCCGAGCGTCGAGCTCGTTGATTTCGATCGCGGGATCCCTCGCGAGAGGTGGTTTAGGGGCCGCCGGGATTGCTCGCGCCCGAGGAAGAAAGAGTTTTCCGCCGTCGCGCGTTATCTCGCCGCGCCGGGGACCCGAAAGCGGCCGATCGGTCGCGGATATGCCGCGCCGAGGCCGAGATCGACGGCGGCATGTAGATCCTAGGAACAAGGTCGTCGATGTGGAGCGTTACTTTCTAGACGGCGCGGCGTTTCCGACGCAACCGAGAATTACCGAGAACCTCCAGTCGGCTTCGCGCGAATGTACACGCCGCGTTCCCACCCAGAATCCGCGGCCGGGACGACGATGGCGGATTTATCCTGCGCGTCTCGCGAGGCGGCGGAACGAAATGAGCGGACCCAGCTTTAATTGACGTTTTTACTTGTCTCTCGTTTACCGCCAGACTGCCAAAGAAAAGAATTTGTTGCTCTGTACGTTTCTTTAAAAAAAAAATGACGTTCCGCTAAAAGCAGATTAAGTTGGCGAGCGGAATCAGTTCTAATTAATGTTTTTATTTGTTGCTAAAAAGTTGCAAAGAAAAAGAAAATAAACTTACTTAAATAATAGCCTGCAAAGTTGCAAGAGTAAAACACTGGGAAAACATTTGTTGTTCGTTTAAATTAGGTAGAGAGATGTTGTTTAGATCTCTCGGAAATTGCTCATCAGGTAAATGCCAAGCCTTCAAGTCGCGGACGCCGTTGACGGGCAGGACGTTCGGCAAGATACGGCACGGCCGACAAGGATCTTCGCACGTAGAATTATCTTTCTCGAAAGCCGTTTAATTAATTAAGAAATGCATATTTATCCTCAGTCTTTTATTGGTTCCCTCGCGCTATCTCGGTCGACGATAATCGAAACGTTGGTGGTAAAAGAGCGGGTGAAATTCCAAATCGAGGCGTGCTCCGTTTTACGAGAGGTATCTTCCGCCAATTAAGGCCCGGTTTCGCCGAACGTTTCGCTTAACTTTAATCTCGGGTTAATTCACGCTTGTCCCCTTCTAAAGTAACTGTCGAAAAGAGACGGAGAACGAATCAAGCTGAGCTTAATTCGTTCGGGCCTTAGGTCCAACGTCACTTGACTTTAATCTTGTTAGTTTAATTCGCGTTTGTCTCTTTCTAAAGGAACAGAGAGGGACAAAGAATGAATTAAGCTAAGCTTAAAGTTAAGCGACGTTGGTGAAAACCGGGCCTAATACGGAAATAAACGAGGGCGTCGTATCTGAATTGGCGTCGCGCGCCGCCGCGCCCGGTTGATGATTCCGACTTCGCGCGTCCGCGAGTAAAGGGTCAAGGCACCTTCTCGCGTACATCTTTATCTCACCCATATCTCTCGCGCCGATAGGCGTGTCCTTTTCGTAATACGCGCATCCTCGCCTTTCATTCTCGCGGTCTCGCTCGCGGCGAGAAAACGGAGCGCGGCCCGCATGCCCGCCAATGCGAGACGAAGCCACGTTTCGCCGCGCGCGCGAGGAGAGACACGCGAGGAGACCTCGGAAATCCCGTTCGCGGCGGCCGATCCGCCGGCGATGGGCTCTCTCATCTACATTGGCGTCTCGAAACGGCCGGCCGTCGATTACCGATCGATACACTCCGTCCCGGGCGGAATCGTACGGCCGAGTCGCGAGACGGAAAGGAAAAAGGGTGGCGCGGATTCCGGTGCGCGCGACTTCTCGTCCCATTTCCTGCCTGCGTCGCGACTCTCCGGCCGGATCGTCGCCTCTCTAATTCTCCAATTTCGCCGTCCTAGACAAGCCCACAAGTTCGTTCTGGTCCCTCGGTCCCCATTCGGACGATCGATTTTCGTCCTCGGGAGCGACCGTTGCGCGAATCTCTGATTTCCGAGATCGTTAAATATTCATGTAATATCGGAAATTTCTCAACGATTACTCGATATCAAACAAGGACCCCGACTGTCCGTTTTTCTAATCTCACTGTCTATGCTTTCGAAGCTTGATTTTTCGGCGGGGGAGGGGGGGGGGAGGGAGAAACCGC